TTATCATAAATAAATCAATAAATGTAAAATAAATAGATAACACTTAATGTTGGCACCTATGATAATAATAATTAATATTAAATGTGTATAAGTTCGAGAGTATATTGTATTAAACTTAATGTTGGCACCACATTTTTATGTGATATAATTATCTACCCACGAAGTTTCATCTATAGATGACATTTTCATTCAAGCCCCTTGTCTGAATTGATGTAAATAATTGTAATTTGATTTAACTTATTATTGTTTGTTACGTTTTCCTATATTATTTTATCTTTTCTATGTTAATTTTCAAATCATTTGTGCTTATTGTAAATCATCACTTTACAGATTGTAACATTTTCTAGAAAAAAAAAAATGTATATATAAAATAAAAATATTTTAACTAAAAAAAACAGTACCTACCTAATAAATTGTTTTTTTTTTTCAAATAGTTTGTTATAAGTGGATTGTCTTATAGAATAAGGTTAATAGATTGAAAAAAAWATATATAAAACATTATGAAAAAAATAGTATCAATCGATTCCAAGCAACTACCATAATTTATATTTATTATGTTTTTTATTCTGTTAAAATATGTCTTATCTCGTAATGAAAACAATTTTMTAATCATTAATTTGTATAATGTCTTGCAAAGTAATATAATCATCGTATTAGTGAAAATTAATCGAACAATTTCATTACACATTACAATTGATTAAATTATTATTATTATTATTTTTTTTTTTTTATAATCACCCATTAGTTACACGCTTATCTACTGTATAAATATTTTAAGACAACAAGTTTTCACTTTTCTAGTATCTTAATCATTTAGACTAGTCATTGGGCATATTTATATTTATTATGTAAATCATATTGTTTTACAATTTTTTCAATTGTATATGAACTATATTAGATCTTAAGCATTTCTGTTACCGATAAAAATCGAGAATACATTTGCAGGCAGCGTGTTCGAGCAATAAAGTTATGCTATACTGCGTTACTCGTCGAGAAGTTTTGAAACGGCTGTTTGTATCGTCGAAAGACGTGCTGAATGCCCAGGATCGTATCGTAAAGATTAAATGGTGCACTGGACATCCCGGCATCGTATTCGGGTTGGATTCATCCTCTAGGTGATCTAGACCCTTTTAACTATATCTATATAAATATGTTTCATTTATATTCTTTTTGTTTGTGTAACATACTAATTATGGCTGATGTGGTCGTTTGCAGCGTACACTTATGGGACCTTTGCGATGACATTAACACACCAATAATGTCCGTGCCGTTTCGAGGAAAGACCATTACAGCCATGTCATTGGCATCAACTCCAAAAAATAGAAACACCTACTTGGTTAGTGTTCCATTTGAACTCATTATGATTTTAATCAAATACCTAATGAAATAATTGTTATAAAACTATTTTATATTTATGTAATATTTCTATATATTATTCTGAAGAACAAAAACGTTACTACTCCCAATTACCACGATTCCTAGAGTTTTCTGTTGATAAACAATTTATACGTATATATAAYAATATTCTAATTCCGTTAAAMAACAGCTATTATTCATTTATTATTGTGTTGAGGGCCAAGACGAGATGAACTTTCACACTATTACCATTATTTCAAAAGCTTTTAAACAATTTATCTCTCAACGGTTAATTTTTTTCTTTATGATCTACATAATGAATTCATCATTTTGAATGTATTATTTAGAGGGTCAGAATATGCTAATTGGCTCACAGTACAAGTGATGGGCGTTTTACATTTACTACCCATTCAAATAACATTAGTGCAATACTGACGTCATAGTTTAATAATTTCGTTACCTTTTTTTAGATTTTTAGCAAAGGAATTAACGTATTAGTTAAACAATTATGTGTGTGAGTGTTTWTTATGACTGTCGCCACCTTTTAGAACCTTGATTCGCTTAAATTTTACATTTAAAAGTGGTTTSTGGTATAAAAAATTAGATATTATTAGTACTTTGAAGTAAAAATAATTCAAAGTATTGTASAAACAACAGAAAACCATTAGAAAAATCGTGGAGAAACTGAAATATTTCTGCAAAACTATGTTCAGACAAAATAGACAAAATCGATTTTGCTTTAATTTGAATATTAATATCCTTAGATAAAATAAATGTATACCGGGTATTATATTTTACTTTTATAGAAACTATGATCTTTAAAATATTATGTTAGCTTTTTTTTTCGTCATTTATATAACCTATTACGTTATACCTGCTACTTATTTCTACTGAAATCAGTCAAAATAATCACTCATAGATTACATTTAAAATAATTTATATCTTATAATAAGTAAGTAATTTTTTTGGAAGTATTTTGGTCTAAAAAATATTACTAATCTGGYATAYAAAGTCAGTACCTAAAGTGCATTTCAACAATTTATTTAAACCATCGTTCCTCGATGATAAATAAACACGTCAATTTGTTTAGATTAGACTGAAATGWTGTGGATATTCTAAGCACTTGTTTTGATTTATTGACATATTTTCCAATATTATCATCTCAAGTCAATTTACCATCTCAATAGCCTATTCAATTAAAAACTGTAGTTTGATATTAATACTAAATTACACTGAATTTACTTAAATTCACCTGTGTTTCAAATAGGTAACCCGGTGATTTAGTTACGATATTCCACGAACTTCGTATAATTATTATATTGTAAAAATTATAATTTTTCATAGTTTTAAAAAAAATRTCAAAATGTATCTACAATTTGAACTAATCGTCAATATTTTTATTTCGTTTGCTGTAATTTATTCTCTAAAAAAAATAATACACAGTAAAATATTGTAAACTTCGTAAGCTTATAATGATTGAATGTACGGTAATAAGTATCRATGAAATGTATTATTAAGGTGTTGATTGTTATTCTTGACAGGGATTGGCGTTTGCTGACGGTGAAGTACAATTACACCAGTTGAAGTTGGACAAGAGGAATCAGACGACCGATCATAGCGAGCAACTCACAAGGTTTTTGGCCAGTCTATAGAAGTGATCTGTTGCAAGCTACTATAACATAATATATAAATAACGTGCCAACAACAGTATTTTTAATTTAATAATATATAATATATTTTTCTAGCTTCGATAACGTGTAATATAATAAAAAATAATATTGATAACTCGTGCGGTACACAGTACTCTACGGAACAAAAATACCATCTTACATACATATATGTACAACTACGTAATAATATTATAATATTTTTATTTTTATTTTCCGTGTGCATAACTATAGATTTTTATAATTGTATTTACTATTGGTGTGTAAAAGGTAAAAAAAAATATATAATAATATAGTATTGTAATAACAAATAATAAATCAAACATAATATTATAATAAGTCATTACTCATTTATCATAAAAAATCTCATCCATTCTTATTAGCTTCATAATTTATTATAAATATATAATACGATTCCAGTTGTCGATCAGTCTACTTAAAGTTTCTCGAGGAAAAAAATACTGAATTTCAATTCCTGTTTTCGACCATTTCTTTCAAAATCTATACTCAGTTATTTTTTCTCCCCATTTGCGTTCTTGTAGTTTTCGTCAACCAATTTGCTCCATTGTTGCATATTATTCATCGCCCCTTCCTTCATAACGTTTAGTTTTGGATTCATTTGACCCAATGCCTGTTAAAAAAAAAATTATTAATAAGACATTCTTTGTTTCTGTGTCTAAAAATTTTGTTAACCTGGTATAATGGTAGACATATGTCTGCGATCCATCTGATCTGTAACTGTGGAAGTTCGTGCTGTCTCTCTCTGTCCATGAGAGCTTGAGGCTGGATTTTTAACTCGAATCTTTCCTTATCGCCTTGCTCAATGAATTCATCTGTCACCAGTCTGGCAGCTCGCTTTTGAACGTGCCATTGCTTTGTGGATGCTGCCAAGTCAGACGACGTCATCAACATCGCCATCAGCATGTAACGTTGAGACTCTTCATCCCAACTGTATTCTTTAGACTCGATTAGCCGGAAGAACTTGTTTCTCAGTCTAACAAAACAAAAAAAAAATTTAAAATAGGAAGAAATACTAAAAATGAATCCAAACATATGGACATTATTTAGAACAAATTAAAATAAACCATTGTACACCTATACATTAAACATTTATTCTAATACCTAAGTTAAAAGTTATATTATATTATATTATGAAAAAAAGATATAATATCTATACACAATAAAGTTTTATAATCATTATCACAAGAATACCCCGTTAAATGTAGTTATACACACATACGCAAWTAGATATGTTAAAACTTTTTTTGAAAAAGAATAATATTGAAAACATAAAAACCAATTTTAATCATTTTTGATTTCTATAACAAAATATGTATACTTTAGTAATGACAATTTTCGATTTATGGATGAATTATYATACATGCAAGCTTATGCTAGTCAAAAGCTATAAAGACATTGAAATCATCATATCATTAAAAGTAAGTAACTGTAGTAAACATAAARTATTAATGAAACAACAAAATGTATAACTTTTTTTGTAAATATTGTAATTATAACGCTATAATTTTTATTTGTTTTTAAGGCTTTAACTGCATGATTATAATTTATATTATATGGTTTTTTTTAGAACACTTGTATTTTGAGCGAGTACTCGTCACTAACAAACCGGGTGGTTAACCACTCACCCATCTGGGAACTTGTGACGCCAGCCGATGTGTGACCTCAGAACACGCTAGTGACTATGGCCAACTACTGTGCCATACCAGGCCCCACTATAATATTTATTTTGATTACATTATTTTCACAACGCTGTGAAAATAGTTTATATAATAATTTAAATTAATTATGTTAGCGCTTAAAACGTGAATGTTTACTTACTGGAAGTACATGCAAAGATCAGTGGCCAGTATACTATGTTTTAATACTTTCATCACAGTTGAAAAACTTTCGGCAGATAGACTCGAGAATATATTGAGATTCTAAACAAAAAATATTAAATATATAAAAATTCTATACTCAAGTAATTTACTCGATTATATTATATTTATATTTATTCGACGTACCTCACTGCTAAGTATCATTACTGCGTGATTGAAATGATGATGTTCCATTGTATTTGTTGTGCCATACAATAAAACTAATGCTGATCTGGCTCTAAAACACAATTATAATAAATTCAGACTAAATTCAGACTAAATATCGATTTTAGTTTTTTAATTTGTTGTTTTTTTTATATAAAACAAAAAGTAAGATAGTTGCATTTAAATTTAAAAGTAAATAAATATAACGTGTATTATCAATCTGTTATTAATCAAAGTACAATGGCCACGCAAAAAAAAATATTATACAAATTCAAATTTTATAGACATTTGAAAATTCACGATATCTATGACRTTGACTTTTGATTTTAATATTCATCAATTATTCAACATGATCTTTAAAAAAAAAAAACATATTTCTAGTTTCAAATACTATGATTACTTTAATTTTAATAAAATTAACCACTAGTTTAAGCATACTTTTCCTGGAATGAATTATTTGTACCCCGGTGATCGAGATCGTGACACAGACATCCGACAAACATTCCCAATACTTCAAGATCGGAGAACGTATTCTTCATATCACATCCCTTTAAACACATAAATATTCACTATGCACTCTGATTAATATTATCTCTATATTTTTCGTAATTTAGTTACCATCATAATAGCGAACATGACTTGAGCAACATTAAAAGCGTGTCTCCAGTTGTGATAAGGCACGTCCCTGTAGTTGCGTTTCACCGTTATAAGAAATCGATATAGTGTCTAAAATATAAATAATATATTGGTGTTATTGGACAAAGTTGATTGTTGTATTATTATTCATGATTATAACCCAACATTTTGTTGAATATTAATATAATATAAAAGATAATTATCTGTAAACAAATCAATAACATATTTAATATAAATAAAATTTAATAATACATAGAAGTAAAAAAAAGTATGCATTTGTGACAATACAACATAATATGTTTTAAATGAYATCGTTAAATAAATACTTGTCTTGTTGTTAGATATTTACATATAGTGATATTCTATACAGAAATATATTAAGATTTCATTAAAATCCATATGATTACAAATAGAATGTTTCTGAATGAAAAAAGATGGATAAATCAAGTTTCATGAAAATGGTAAATTATTTTACACATTACTTAAGTACTTTTCATTTATTTGTAACAGGAATTAATAATGCCTGTATATACAGTATAATATTATCTTATATCATTATGCTCAATAATTTTAACCAATTAAAAAAGTATCAAGCTATTTTCTACTATAGTAATACAGATATTCGTTTAGGGCTACAAAGTAATACAATACCTACCGTTGAYAAACATAATAATATGAATAAATAATTATCAGTTTGTATGGGTAGTAAATGTGAGTACTCAATGCATATTTAATTAAAAACTTAGTATTGTTCTGCTTATTGTTATCAGTAAGTTATAAGTTACATAAAAATATTTTGCATTGAAAAATAAAATGTACCTGAACCTTGTTTGTTATACATAAAAAMAAATTAAACCAAACAAGTAATATTTCCATTTGTTGTTATGTTCATTCCCTATCAAATACTTTCCCAGGCAAATTATTTCAACGCTCATTATTCAAATTATAAGACATAATATGATATGTCCACTCCATTTCTTGCTATTCACTTATATTCTTTAAATATAATAAACAATATAAACAAATTTACTATTGTAACTACTGGCTTGCATATTAATATAAAATAAGGATAGGATTTTCTCAACTGAACAAATTTATTTAGTCAATATAAACTACAATGTGTTAGTTATATCACTGATACGCATTTAGCTATCATATTTCATAAATTCATAATGTCATAACATTTTTGTTTTTTGGAAACATTCTATTTGAAAACTTTTTTTCCGATAAATTATATTGTGTTACGAATCGTGTACATGTAGTTATGCTTAAAACTTTTCGTTTATGAATTACCAACTAGATGCATTGAACAGCAGTAACATAAAAATTTAAAAAAAAAATCATTATTGCGGTAGAAGTTACTAGGACATAAAATATCAATGATTTTTGTATACTTCAAGCAATCATTTAAATGATCATTTATAYACAAGACACAACCTACATTAAGTGGTTTATCGWACATATGTTTTACTCAGTATACACTCACTTCTTTCTCAATGTTAAACGTTTTAACGAGTCCTAGTTCCAAAAACATGCTCACGGCTGCCATCAGCATTTCGTCGTCGTTAAGTGAAAAATCGTCGAATGCAAGAGAATATAAATTCAACGAATCAGCAGCAGGTACTGGCATACCCTAAAAAAAATAATACATTTATTTCTTGTATGGTAACAGTGTTTCGTTAGTATATTTAATATTGACAACTCGATTTATTTTGATTTTGTGATTTCCTATTTATTTGAAAACACATGATTTGACACTTTGTTTTACGTGAAATAGTGTAAAAATATATTCCCCCTTTTATAAGTCGTTCGCGTCAGTAGGTACATATCACACGCAACGAGACAAATCTAGAATAATAACAATATACACTTTCAATCCGTTCAAATTTGCGGGGGCATTAAACTATGGAAAACACGGTCTAGAGTTCAATGACTGGCGAGTAAAAGTTTTTTCATTATTTTCACAATACCCGAATACATTGAATGTTTATTCTGGAATGATGGTGTATACTTGAAATCGAAGCCAAAAAAGTTTTAAAAGCATAGGAATATTAAAAAATAAATTTACAAGATTATAGAGCTCACCAGGATACGTTCCACGTCTTTGTTAGAAGCTGTCGCATGATAAGATAGAACCTAAAATAAATAAATGAAAGAATAAAAACAAACATTTATATAACTGTCTGATGCTGTATAATATATTAGTTTTTGCACGCCCGTGCGGTGATCTTACTTCAATGGAGACTTTTTGTCTGGCCATCGCCTTTTCTACTTCACTATACATGAGTGTGTTATGTATTCCCAGTCCACAGAATATTGTAAAAGCCTATAACAAGTGAAACGTGGTTTTATAAATATTTATARGTGAAYCGCAAACTAAATCTGCAACATCACGTAATTGTCTTGTATATTACAATATCTTACCTCGAACAACTGTTCATCGTAATCGTCGAATGGCGACGAATTCAATTTGTTGATTATACTGGCGACACCTGTTAAGTATTAAACGTATTGGTTAAACGAAATAATATGATCCCTCAATAAATCCTTGAATTA